TCACGTGTCTCAAATATCGTGATATCTCTTGGTAACCAACCAAAATTATCACATTGACCATTTGATACATTTGAACAAAATGATTCAAGAGACTTGTTAGGAATTATAAAGGGAAAATTGCAGCAGCGATATCTAATTTTTTACTTTTTTTTGCAAACTTTATCCTGACCTTTACTTTGTGCCACCCGCATTCCAAACATTTCAAAAATATGCACATGTGGTCCAAATGGATGGAACCGTCCATTTGATCGTTAATTGACTAGAAAAATCAAAATTTAACCAATTTGGACCAAATTAAAAAGGGTATAATGGTGCTTTGGATTTTCCTAAATATTAACAATTAAAATAAAAACTATTATGTCATAAAGATGTGAAATAATATCAGTAATATTGACTGGATTTATATTTTTTTTTTTCTAAAATTTTCAATTATTATCCCTCTCTTCCGCGATGAAATCCAATTATGGGATTTGAAGTGCGTCCAATGGGCTTTTCCCACTTTAGATTTTCTTTTTGTCGATATTATCGTGTTTGACATTTTATTTTTTCACAATAAAAAACTCATTTGATCAGTCATTATAATCAATATGAAGATTAAATATACAATATTTCCCACTTTAGAAGTACCTTAGGTCAAATCCTTGAATTTGATTGAATAAAGAATTCCTCACAATCTTGTCTCGATCTTTTCATTCACCATATTTTTTGTATTAAACGTTTGTCTAGATCTAAATAATTTTATGCAAGCGGCCACATAGCTATTGTGAAGGACTATTTTCAAGTACGACATATATCTCCAACAGAGGTATAATACTATGGAGGCTATCAGAACTACAAACTTATATATGCTTATAACAAAATTAGTTATTATTGATTTTCTTCTTTGTAGAATTGTACCACCAAAGATCTCTATTAAAATTTTTGCACGTCGAAAATATTTGACCTTGCTATCATTATTACCATCATCAAATGGTCAACTTTGTTTTGCAAATTGAACGAATGGATATGATTATCTTTCTCAATTTCTTTAAATGTAAGTAAAATAAAAGCATTTTTCATAGCTATTCATCATCATTGGAGTTGAGCCACAGTCTATGTGGCAATTATATGATATTAAATGATAGATTCATTTAAATACAAAGTCACATGACTCATTTAATTGAGTCTATCATTCAATGTCATGTAATTATCATATAAATTGGGGCTTAATTCCAGTGGAAATGAATAACATTATTCTTTTTCATAACAAGAATACAACACATGTCTAACAGTACACTACGATATATTTTAGTGATAATACATTATTTTATCTTAATCGCAAAATTAAATGATTATTATTAAAAAAATTCAACAAAGGACAAAAATTTACAAGGTTACGAGTTCAACCCCTGGTGTAGAAATCAAATGTTTCCTTTTCCATGATTTTTTTTTCTTTTGTTCACAAAAATGCACTCCATTTTCCCAAATCCCTTGAATGTGAGCAGGATAATAGTTTGAAGTGTGAACGAAGTTATTTACTTTAATTAAATTGAAAAAAATTAACTAGAAACATTTTTGTTAAATCTTTCTATTTTAATTTTTTTAATAAATATTATACGTTACATGTTAGCAAACACGGAAGTGCAATAATTTCTCCCTCGAAATCATGTGTCCCAAATATCGTGATCTCTTGGTAACAACCAAATTTATCACATTGACCATTTGAACAAAATGATTCGAGAAACTTGTTAGGAATTATAAAGGGAAAATTGCAGCAACGATCTCTAACCTTTCACTTTTTTTGCAAGCTTTACCCTGATCTTTACTTTGTGTCATCCAGATTTCCATTACCTTTTATAAATATGCATTTGTGATCCAAATGGACGGATTTGATCGTTAGATGACTAGAAAAGTCAAAATTTGACCAATTTGGACCAAATTAAAAAGGGTATAATGGTACTTTGGATTTTTTTAAATATTAACAATTAAAATAAAAACAAAAGAAAAATAAAAAATCTACCACCAACCCCAAACCCTACCCCCACCTCCAACCCATCTCCTTCAACTCGTCGCCGGAAATCACCAAGGCAACGCCACTACAACTATCCACCACACCACAACCTCTACCCCTCCGTCGCCACCGCCATTTGGTAAAACCTGTCCCTACCACCATCGCCACAAGTATCTACCAAATTTCCGCCACCACCACCATTTATATTACAACTCTTGTTTTCTTAAATTCACTAAATTACGGAATTAGACTATCCATTACGACCAATCATAGCAACAGTAGCAAATAGAGGGACTTCAAATGCAATGGAAAGGCTTGTCCATTAGAACCCAATTAACAGCAATAATCATCTTTCTGTATGGTCACTGATCAAGCTCAGATCAAAGCCAACACTGAAAATATGGATGAATCTTTGGGTTGTGGATAATGTTACTTTGCTATCAATTGCGATTGAAATAAGAAAATTTACTTCAAGATTAGAATATGGAGTAGTTCGAATATGGTGTACAAATGACGAAGAAGGCTCCAGTGCCACAAACACTCAAAGAACCATTTCAGTTGTTGCCCCCGATTTTTGGTGGTTGGTTTTGGTTTGATGGTGGAGGTTGGTGGTTTACGATGTGTTCTTGTGTGATAGTAGTGGTGGTTATGACTGGCCGACCGACAACGTGTCCGTGCTACTGGTGGCTAGGACAGGGGATGTAGCAAGGGTGGGGGTTTGAAGGACATTTTTTGTGTTTTTTATTTTATTTTCATTTTTTTGTTTATTTAAATTTAATGTAAGGAGAATATGAAGTACCATTTTATCCTTTTTAATTTGGTCCAAATTGGTCAAAATTTGACTTTCCTAGTCAAACTAAGAGTTATTTCCATCAATTTGGATCACAGGTGTATATTTTTAAAAGTTTGAAACTATGGGTGACACAAAGTGAAAATTATGGTAAAGTTAGCAAAAAAATGAAAAGTTAGGGACTGCTGCTACAATTTTTTCAATTATAAATTATATAAGATATTGTATAGAGATTTACAGTAATATATATAGAGTTGTGAATATTGCTTAATATTGTCTTTTTTGGATTTTTGTAATGCTTTCAACTTCATCTTATAACACATAACAAAAAGGTAAGGAAGAATTTTCATAGAATAGCTTGGTAAATACCTTACTCCAGTTTTTCTTTAAAGAAGGAAGATAGGCAATTATATTTGCCGCTTAAGAGCTAAAGCACACTTAGTAGGCAGATAACCCAAGCTTCGCGTTGAAATAAACCCTTTCTTTTCTCTACCGTATTTTATCACCATAGATTCCAGTGATAGTAACCAGATCATTGAGAAAAAAAATGCCAAACCGTTCTTCCTTCCCCTTACCTATCGGGAACAACTTTTATTTAAAAAATATTCTTTTTTTTTTAGGATTTAATTATAATATAAACATTTTTAATGTTACATATTATTTGTCATTTTATGGTTGATTTTGAATTTATAAATTTAGGTTCGAAAGTCTCCTACGAAGAATTTTTTTTTCTTAAATACATGCGTCTACAAAACAGGAACTCGTCGTCTTTCTTATCTGAGAGCAAGCAAGATAACAAGGGAGACTGTTCTTAGTGGAAATACACTTCTCTATGAGAAAAACACTTGAGATGTGTCGACCTAAGGCCAACCTCTAAAGTTCGACTCAAGTTCGACTTGTCTTCATGTAGAAAACCGTTAAATCTCTCCAAGCAAGATTTAGAGCAATTAGCATAAAAGTCATTTCGTAAATATATAAGACATGTAACATACACAATACTAGACAAGTGCCATAAGATGAGAGAGCACTAGATAGAGAAGCCTTCAAGAGTCGTACAAAGTTCGCATTTTCTATAAACTCTCTTCTCCATCTATTGCCAACATGTGAATTCTCTTGCTCTTTTCTTAGTGATTGTATCGTCTATCACGCTAATTTTTTTGGAGGCCAAGTCACAAGAGAGTTTGAGAGGTATGTGAAGCTTGGCTGACAACGTGAAAAGTAGCTTCACTCACCCATTT